TTATGTTCCAATTATCTTTTAGCTGCAATGCAGTTATTAGTTTTAAAATATCAACGTTAAACTTTTAAATTGTTTTATTTCAAAACAAACTTATTTTCATTTTGTTTGTTTTTATTTTCATCGACACATTTAGTTTTGTGTTAGGTCAAGTAATATACTAATACTACAAAATAAAGTATTGCTAAGAACATAATCAAATGTGTTAAACGTCAAAATTAAATAAAAAAATAACTCTTTATTGTTTCCCTTTTTAAGGTATCTCCATTTGAAGAGTTTCTATATATACCAATAATTTTAAACTTTTACACATATTCCAAGAAAATAATCTTTAAAAATAAATTTGTTTTCATACGCCACAGTGTTTTTTGTATCTCACGTACTCGCTCATAAGATTTTCATCAAAACTATAATAATCAATTTTTAAGCTACATGTATAAACATGATTTTGTTTTTCGAATTAGGAAACGAATTTTAAAATAATCCATGGGATATCTGTGGGAAATAATACTTTTGCATAAATGTTATTTTCCATAGATTCTTTATATTCTTTTAAAAATTCGTGTCTAAACCTGATCAACAAAAGAGTCGAATGAACATAATAAATGGCTTAGAAATCGATTCTCACATTACGCCCATATCTATAAAAAATTGTTTGTACTTTTTAAAATTGTCATTTAAAATTTTGCCAACTATAACAACAAATTAATATTTCATTTTGTTATTTATTTACTTTTATGTTGTTTTTTAGGTTTTAACAATACGATAATTAGTAAAAGAGAAATATTTTTTTAAATTAAAATACGTCTTATTTTACGGCCTACTGTTATTTATTTATCAAACTCTATAAACAACCTTAAGTAGTTTTTAGATCATTTTTTTATATTTTAAAATAAAACTACATGAAACATCTACTGGTACCAATATTTCAATAACATTGGAGTGAAAAACACACCTGTAAAATAAATCCATAGCGAAAATAAATCTAAAATTGAATATCCATTGATATCTATAAATTTAAAAGGGTAGACAGGTTTGCCGAACTGTGGAAAACTTGATATACTCACATTCAAGGGTATATTGACTTTTAATTCAAAGAAAAATATTTGAGAAATCGTTTTTTATCTTTGGGAATTGTATTACTAAAATAAAGGTATTTGAAATTTAATTTGCCTTTTTAAATCTGAAATACTGCTTCACAAACGTTTTTTCTTTTAAGATATTGCAGACTAGACGGGTCATCAACATAAATTATTATCAGAAGTATCGAGCTTGTATCCAAAGGGACACATTCCAATAACTGCCGTTGACAATGCATTTGCATTTCATAGATTTATTACGCCATCTTGTTCACGACTACAAGCTTTCAGATAATATTCGGGGAACATCAAAAGAATAAGATTTTTCAACGCCCACCTTTAAAACGACCATTATCGCACAGGATTCTTTTAAATACACATTGCACGGAAAGAAATTTTAAAAGTATTTATTACAATTCATATGACTATTCTTTTATCTAGAAGTGTTAAGGATAATTCTTCAGTATTGCAGTAATATTTCATTTTATAAATATAATTAATATAGTATGACTTACGATAATTGTGTAAGGATTATTATTGTACATTTTCTCAAAATAAGAACAATTTATATCTTCAATATAGCATTATTTCTTATCGCAAGTGTGGTAAAATAATTCATTTGCATTCTCAGAAAAATAATTTGAATACTGAACTTCTTTCTTGTATTTATTTAGAAAAACGTACTATTATTTTAAAGTTAAAAAACATCGAAATAAACTTCTAAGTTTATTACTATTGTTGTAAACCAAACAAGAATCCGATTGTTGAATACTACGATATCCTGGCAATTTTTGATTGAAATCGCGTACTACAGGGCCTAATTTGTTCCGCCAATAAGGGGACTTCGCGCGTGCACGTGTTACCGCTAAAAATTGCAGTTGGGTAGGGGTGGGTTGAGAATCTTGGTCATTACTAGTGGAATGTCTATCATAGACAGTCTGTGTTTTAAATAGTGACAGTAAAGTGAACAAAGTTAAAGAAATCGTGGACTGAATTTACCAAATTTATTTCTCATCTTAGAAGAGAGGTGTAGGTACCTATTAATTAATTAACATTATCATATCAATAAGTTAGTTATTAAGTAAGCATTATTTGAAGAGCATGGCACTAAAATAATAAGCCATGGCTGCAGGCATTTATTAAAAATGCCTGCTAGGTTAGTTAGGTATATGAGTTGTTTTGAAACAAAAAGCCTCAAAAAGAATGTAATTAATTATTTTTGGTAGGCAAACTCCTAAGGAATAAATAAATTTTAAAAATAGCTGCGGTTGTGAAAAATAATTGCAATGTTTTTTATTGCTGCGACATATTACTCTTCAGTAAAATAAAGGGCTAGGGGGCAAAAAGTATTTGTAGCTTTCTATAAAGCCACAAGGTACCTATATATTTTGAGATGCGAGGAGTCCTCGCAGAGCATGACGTTTTTAAACAAGCCTTTTAGAGCTTACTTACCAAAAATAATTATAAATTGACTATATATAGATATATCTCAAAAAATTCTATATATAGAATGAAAGTATACTTTCATATCTTTGCACGGTATTTTCTGATTCAGCGGACAATTTTACATATGAATTGTATATTAAATATCCGGGAATCAAATTGCTTTGGACAACAGTTACCTATTAGTGGCTGCTTTTTCGCCATTAGTCATTTTTAATTAATTCATTTTAAAAGAGTATGTTCCAAATAAACTATTTGCCGGATGATTTCCTTAGATACTATTGTCAAGACAATGGTATCTATGGAAGTTATCCGTCAAATGGTTTATTTGGAAAATAAGTAACAATTGAAATATCGGCCCTACGTAAATGGAAAATGTCAGGGTATTAATATTATTGAATCTGTTACTTTTCATGAAAGTCTGGGCGTTTATGAATATTTTTGTTAATCAAATTAAGATAATTATGTTTTTTTATTAAATCGATCATTTTAATAAAGTCGGAAATCCAAAAAAATTTATTCAAACAAAATTATAAAATGTATTCATAAATTCAGTTTTTTTTATTTCTTATTTTTAATTTTCTATGAATGGCGGACTGAGTGCACCATGGTTAAGGATTTTAAAATGATCGATTTATTAAAATACTTGCCTAGTATAAAGTTTAATTTTGTTTTTGTTTTATATATTTAGTATTTTTATTAAAAATAGATTTTTAATTCTTGAGACTAATGATACTAACAATTTTTATTGCGGATTTTATTTTTTTGAGACTCTTTAATAAATAAATTCAGCCTTGCAGAAAAATATTAGGAACCACTTTTTTATAATGATTTAATTTTCCTTAAATTATTATTAAATTACAATATTAATTAAGTCATTTTGAATAGCTTTTACTTGATAATTTTAATTTTTACTTTTTATAAATTTTCAAAAAAAAACCGGCATGTAAACACGCAACATACCGTCTTATCTTAACGTCACGCTGCTTTATGAATTTTTGATTTTAGAAAAAAGTTGTTTCAAATGACTTACCGATTGATATACTAGAGTTATTAAAGTGTTTTTCATAACACCCTGTATATTATTCTTATAAATTATGGTTTTATATATTTAAATAAATATTTGTTTCAAATTTAGTTGGTTTTACTTACCCTTGTCCCCTTTCCTGGTATAGCCTGTATTAATTTTTTAAATAATTTGATAATATTTTATAGTAATCCCTAATGAAATAGTAAAAAATAAATAATAAAAATTGCCTTACTGCAAGTTAACTTTTGCAGAATATAATAACAACATATATTATAATGTACTAATAAAAATGTCGAGTATTTACTGAATGTTTTCGTCAAAATCAATTATTTTATTTATAGTTTAAGAATATCACTAAATAACAAGATTTATAATAATTAATATTAAGTATGCTTCAGAAACTCTAAAGGTATATCTAATAGCTTTTATTAATAATGTAAATATATTTTACACAGTGCCATACTGATACACGTTACCGTTCTTAAATCATGTATTTTTTATTAATAAAAACTGTAAATATTGTAGGAAATCCTCGTAAATGATCTGCTAGAATATCCTAGTAAAATAAGTCGTATATTCACTTTGTCACTATATGAGTCGGAAATCCTGGTAAATTGTGTCAGAATACTGGCAATTATTGTTAATTTTTTTTTCCGTGTGACAAGCTGTGACTTTATGCATAACGCCAAGAGTTTCTTTACGCCAATCTTTAAAAAAATTATATGCAAGTTTGTACTGACCTTTTAATTTCGCCGGCAAAAACTAGTTTTTGTCTATAAAATATTAATAATTTCGGGTGGGGTAGCCATAAAAACACCCTCTTTATTTTCACTATAGAAAACTGCTTCTATATTGGATTTAAACGATTGTTAGTTCATTTTCAATGGAGAGATTTCGATTTTTGTAGAAATATTTGACAAACTGACGCTGACATTTTAAAAGCCGGTTAAAAGATTCCTAACAACAATTTTGTTTACTCTATTTTTGTATAGATGTCGCTCTATACAAATATTTAAATAAATTAGTAATAAAATAATTTTTATAATAATATTTGTCGTAGAACAAGCATAGTAGAAAATTTGTTTATAAACTTTTCTAGACGGTCGTTTCTATTAAACACTATCTCGCAAGCTTCTCTCATGCCCAATTAAAATTCGTGACCGAAATGGCGTTTATTAAACTTAATATACAGGGTGCGACAAAAAGGTTGCCCCATTTTCAAAGGGTCATTGGTCGGCTCGTGGGGGGATGGATCAGTGGGCGTGGTTGCTTTAGGTAGGTAAGTGCATGCAATTTTCAGTCATCATAATGAATCTGTCAGAAATATTTAGGATGTCAATAAAAATCAAACTAAGAAAAAAGCTTTTTATTTTTAGGTAACACATATTATTTCATACATTTCATGCTTTAAAAATAATGTCTTTAAATGACCGCTGTTATTGTCAATGGTCACCTGTGTTGACTGTTTGTTGGGCAGGGCGCATTCGTAACCTAAGAATTCCTCCAACGATCGAAACAAAGCAATTAAAAACAATTAGTTTGGTGAGTGAGTGGCCGCGGTAAGATGTTATTGTGCTGAATAGCGATGAAGAAGTACAAAAAAGAGGAGATAATGTGGTTGTTTGGCGTTTTGCTGTGTTCGATGGGTGTCAACGGTCAATACGAGTGGCAAGCCAGGGACCCCTTCGACGAGGTTAGCAGGGCGATGAAGAAGATAAACAAAGATAATTGCGAGATACAACATGTAGGCGACTTGTACCTGCCGGACGACGCCGTTTCGCATCTTCCCGATATCAAGGATATCAACGTGAATCCAGTTTTTCCGAATAGAACGCAATTGATCCATTTGCATAACATGGCGTTAAATCGCGGTTTCTACTGGAGCTACATCCTTCAAAGTAGGTTTATTCGACCCACAATCAACGACACCTACGACCCGGGTATGATGTACTACTTGCTATCAACGGTGGCCGATGTATCCACTAACATGCACGTAAACGCTAGTGCTGTTTACTTCTCCCCCAACATGTCCTACTCATCATCATACAGAGGATTCTTCAACAAAACATTTCCTAGATTCGCACCCAGAACATTCAGGGCAGACGATTTCAACGACCCCATTCACCTGGAGAGAATCTCCACGCTAAACACCTTCACAGTCCACGATTTGGGGGCTGTAAACCCAGACACAAGCAGCGACTACACCTCCGATTACTTCAGAATAAACGAGTGGTACAAAAAATGGTTGCCCGACAAGGTTTCCGAAAGGCACGACACAAAGACGACCTATCAAATCGAGATTCGGTACGCGAATAACACGAACGAGACGTACACCTTCCACGGGCCACCGGGGGCCGATGAAAATCCGGGGCCTGTCAAATGGACGAGGCCCTATTTCGATTGCGGGAGATCCAACAGGTGGATGGTGGCAGCGGTGGTACCCATCGCCGATATTTATCCCAGGCATACCGGGTTCAGACATATAGAATATCCAACTTTTAGTGTCGCACCCGTTACAATGGAAATACCCTTATGGACATTTTTGGAGTAAAAACGTTTTTGGTTTTACAAATATTAAATCACATATACAGTACCGTCTTGATGCTCGAAGAGGTCGGATGCGTCAAGATCCTAAGTGGCGTATACGATACAAACGTAAAATGCCAAAAGCGAAACGAAGTGTCCGGAAATGTCGGTGATCGTTAATGAATAATAAATAATAAATAAATACATAAATAAACAAGAAGTGCGAAAATTGTGAGATAACGCCGTAAAGGTGTGCAAGTGAATAAGTGCCTGATTGAGGCTGGGCAGCAACGATAAGTCAACCGGCGCACCTGGATCGGAGCGTTCCAAAAACGTCCTTTTTCTATGCAAAAACCTACAGGAGAGGGACTCCCCGCGAAGGACAAAGCATCAGGTTTATAGCCTAATAATCAAGCTAAGTAATTCTTCTAATTGCATGTCTTACCGTATAATCGTTAAATGTTTATATAAGCATTTCACAAAGTTGCAAAGAATCTAAGAAATCTATTCGTCTTAAAAATTAAATTTAAAAAATAATAAGAACATTTCCGTAACTGTTAAATAACAACCTATTTTCTCATGGCAGACAAACGTAAACAACCAGCGTAAAAGGCGTAAGCAAATAAACCAATTCAAGCAAGAAGACAAAAATTTATCATAAATAAATTTAGGGTCACACTCATAAATCAAGCCAGGCTAATACACGGAATTCAAGAGCCAAGCAGGCCATAAAGACGCATTCCACTATGCACTACAGGGCCGGCTCTAGTTTAAAGATCGATTTACATAAAGTGATTAATTAATTAATTAATAATTTAATTGATTGATTGATATTGATATGATCATATTGGTATTGGTATTGATGGTAATATTGTTGGTATAAGTGTTGATGTTGATATTGGCATTATAGATATTGATATTAGTATTAATATTGATTGATTAATTGGTTGATACTGATATTAACGTTAATATTGATTAATTGATTGATTGGTTGATATTGGTATTGATTATTTGTATTATTTGGTATTAGTATTGGTATTGACTAATTGAAATTTATATTGAATTTATATAGATACTAATTTAACAGGAAACCAGGCAACAATTGATCATGGCAGAGGGCAGCGTGCGTGTGTGAAGGGAAATCAAGTGGGTGCGTCGCAATATTATATTATTGTATTATATATATTATATAATATACACATAAGCTCACGCAAGCAAAGCTTGGAGGATGGAGAAATTAAATGGGCAAAGCCCCCACGCGAAAATGAAGTGGTAGGCCATCTATTGAGGCATGCGTTGCACGCCTGACATAGGGGCCGGGTTTCAAATTGATGCGATACACCACAGGGCCGGCTTTATCTATTTTGTATATTAATATTTTATTTTTAAATTAATTTGAAAAAAAATAAGTAAGAAGGCAAAGATATAAATAAATGAAAACGGTATGAACACTAATATAGCAATAAAATAAATAAAGAATATACAAGGTTGGTAGCCGGAGTAAGCAGAAAAACTAACATACCCACCCCCATTCAGGAATACCAAATGAATGGGGTTATTACTAAAGCCCTGGTTTAGGAGGATTCCGGATTGTACTTAGTTTTGGGTCAGTTCAATGTCCTCCAAAAGCCCTTCCTAAACTGGACGTATGGCCCGACCCGGCTGACAAAAATCCCGGGAGCTGCCTTAACCTTTGACACTGTCATCCACGAACTCCTAGGGTGGATCTACCAGCCGGCGTAAAAACTTCGGATCCAACAAACACAGGTAATGCTGTGATTTGGCGGGATACGCAGGAGAACGGAAAGGGGGTAATATAACCTCGGGAGATCAGTGGATGACAATATATCTGGGGCTTGCCATACGTTCCCATACTCATACTCATACTCAAATGACCGCTGTTATTGTCAATGGACATTTGAAGCCTACTACGACAGATCGTCATTGCTCTGCGCGCCATATCTTGAAAATTTCGTTGATGTCTTGCCTTATTGCTGCCTTTAGATTTTCCAAATTTTGTGGACGATGTTTAAAAAATCGCAAGGGGTCAAATCAGGCGAACGTGAAGGCCACCCAATATCACCCCGTAAAGAGACAACTTTGCCCGGACATTTTATTTAAAAAAAACCCTCGCGTAATTAATGAACCTTTTTCTTAGTTTGATTTTTATTAACATCCCAAATATTTCTGCCGGATTCATTATGACGACTAAAAATGGCAAGCACGTACCTACCTAAAGCGACCACGCGCACTGCTCTATCCCCCCAACGAGTCAAGCAATGACCCTTTAAATATGGGGCAATCTTTTTGCCGCACCCTGTATAAAATACATACATTATAATTTAATATATGTATGTAGTGCTGCAGCATGGTATTATAATTTAATATATTTATGTAGTTGCGGCCAAATCTGCATGAGTATACGTCGTCTATGCGGTGTAATGACGTTGATAGCATTACCAACTTTAAACTATAAAGTTGCTGCTATTAAAATTGCTTTCAAAGAATATCATTGTTATATTGTTAACTAAAAACTGTAACAATTTCCTCATTTTTTACAAAATTATGAAAAAAAAGTTGATGACGTACACCCATGCACATTTGGCCGCAACTACATAAATATATTAAATTATAATACCATGCTGCAGCATGATTTTCCTACTAAAGTAGTAGTGCCTATCAATATGTGAAAATGCCAATCACCTCGCTCACTGTGCTTTTATTTCGAATGTGCTTCGAACCAGGCACCGACCGACAGCCTGTTTCGGACGTTTGGTCCTCATCAGTGTTTGGTAGCCTTGTTGGACCGAAGCACACTCGAAACAAAATGCACCTGCCGCCCTTATAGCAAGAATTGCCACAGAACAGCGGTGAAAACACAGCGAACGAGAGTTCTCAGCGACATCTACCGTCCAGAGGACGTAGCCAAACTTTGTGTTCAGCAGAAATTGTACTCTGCATTAAACACATAGACGAAATCATTCTTCGTTATTGGCTGAAAAGATTTATGCCCAGCGTATGATATCAGCATGGTTTTTCTACTAAAGTAGTAGTGCCTATCAATATGTGAAAATGCCAATCACCTCGCTCACTGTGCTTTTATTTCGAATGTGCTTTGAACCAGGCACCGACAGACAGCCTGTTTCGGACTTTTGGTCCTCATCAATGTCGGGTAGCCTTGTTGGACCGAAGAGCGGCAGGTGCATTTTGTTTCGAGCCTCTCTACCAATGGGATCGCCCATTTTTTATAACAGAAAAATGGATTACTGATGAATTTTCAAGATAATTGCTTACAAGTTGACAGTCAGTAAAACATTGCATTGATCTAAAACTTTTACGTTTTAAGGAACCATTTTGCTTAAGCCACTCATACGACTCAAATATAAAATTATATTTTAAAAGGCACCGATTTTGATAATTGTCATAGATTTTTGTTCCAAATAAATGATTCTCTTTATTTACCTTTTAGTTGTATTCACTACTACCAATAGGTTTTACTCAAATAATAGTGCTAATTTACACTAAAGGTTTGCACTAAAAGAGTAAAAGTACCTTTCTAAAATTAGAACTTTTCCAAAGTAGTGTTAATTTACACTGAACAAAAGTGCGATTTTACCCAGAAAGTGTAGAAGTACGCGATTTTAGGTAAATTAACACTTTTCAATACAGTGTAAAATTACTTTATCCTCAGTACTATAGTGTTAAATCATACTTGCTTACTTGGGGAAAATTACACTACAAATTAACTCTAATTGCAGTGTTATAAAACACCACTATTTAGTGTGGACCTGTGTGAACTCAAATTAGTGTTGCTTAGAGTTGATTTTTTTCCTGTGTAAAATATATAATTTGGCATTTTAAACTAAAGGGTACCTGGGGACCCAAACCGTCATTTGTGTGTGGAAAAACTTTGAACATTTATTAAAAAAAAAACAAAAAAATGTATTTCAAATTTAAATATTGTGTAGAAAATACCTAGTTTAGAAATGTCACGAAATGGCAAACCTCCTCGATTTTAATCAAAAAAGATATTCATATCTAAAAGCTGAATAATACCGGGTTCAGTCACATAAGGGTTAAATACGCCAGTAATGTCTATTAATAAATTTCATTAAAACATGTTTTCCACAAGTTTTTGCTTAAATCAGTCTATCTTTGATCCAGATATTATTATTCTATATGATACAAAAACTTTGCTTTTATTTATGCCAAATTTTAAAAAGACTGGGTTTCGTACCTAGATATATTTGTTTTATTTATTTTATCTAGGGTTCCGTACAAAGGCACGTGGTGGGACATTAATATGAGGGGCATGGTCATGATTTCATAAAATGATTCTTTTGTTTTAACCTTACATATTTTTCCTAATGGCTTTTAAACGAAGCAAGAAGATATAAAAAAGTGGTTGGTAAGGTTAGAAAAAAATAGTTACCCCGTATTAAAAAACAAACAAATTAATATAATGTATGCATACATGTTCTTAGTTATAAATGCATCTTAATGCATCTTTAGTTAATAATGCATCTTAAAAGGAAAAAAATCAACCATTTGTTATTTGACCAACTACACTTAGTTTTTGATAAATTATCGTTTGGTAACATTTTAATTTGGTAAAATTTTAATTATACAGTAATGTAAACAACCCATATATTCAGAGTGCAAAAATAGCAATATTATTATTTTTGCACTTCGGGGGTGTAAAAAATACGGATTATATTTTGTATTTGTTAAATTCGAGTATTTTCTATAATATTAAATTTAATTTTGAAATTAAAGCCCAATAAACAGTTATTTTTTATTAAACCATTAAAAATCGTACGAAAATAACTCCTGAGTAAACTTTTTGGTATAAAATAAGTGTCAGAGTAAACTAATTAAAAATAATGTTATGGTTAAGTGCGGTGACAACAGATGCCTGGCGAAAAGTAGAAAATGCGAATGATTGACTTCAATTCATTAAGGCAATTTGTCCAAAAAGTTTGCGGATCGGTATTTTTCACAGCCGCGCTCTTAATTGTTTAAATT